CTTTGCCTTCGACTTTGCCTTTGCGGGGCGAAAGCCTCTTCTGTGACTAAATTCCGCAGCGACCTTGGAGCTCCCTGGCCAAATGCCCCTCGCAATATGATCCGGGTCCTCTTGCCGTCCTTCGTCCGAGGACGGCATTCAACAGCCGGGTTCCTGAGGGCTCCGCCCTCGCGTGCAAGTGCATACCCGCAGCTGCTGCAATAAAATACGGGGATTTCCTCATGTGCAACGACCTTGTGCGTTGGGCGAAGTGACCTGCCCCCAATTGGAAGCCTCCGGTGGGCCTGGGGAACGCTGCCGGCTGGCGGAAGCGCACCTGCAGGAACGGCAACTGGGCGACAAGGGGGTCGAGAGCCATTGAAGAACACGGGCTCTACCCCCAACGCGACCCAGACACACCGGGGTCCGCCATGGAGGAGGAGGAGGAGGAGGAGGAGGAGGAGGAGGAGGAGGAGGATGAGGAGGAGGAGGTGGAGGTGGAGGAGGAGGAGGAGGAGAGGAACACGTGGCTTTGATCCCCCGCCGCCCCTTTTCTAACTCTAATCGGAGTGCGTGCGCTGCTCGCCGCCGCCTTCTGGAGAACGCTGGGGCGGGGCGCCTCATTCTGCTCGGCCAGGGTCGGGAGCCTTTCAACCTGGGAATCTAGCCGCTAGCCTCGTTATCAGCTTGCGTGACATTCTCCAGGACGGTGCACGAACGTTTCCTAACTCGAGCGGCCTTCTTCTCAACATCCTGGACCCTCTGGACCTGGTCAGGGTGGGGCTGACATTTCCTGACCGCTTCATCAGCCTGGATGTCGACTAAGCTTTTGGCTCGCGTCCACAGCTCTGGAAAACGCATCTCGGCCCGTCTGGCTTCGGCCACGTGGTTTTCGACCTTGCGACAGAACGAGGCGCCCCCCTCGGGCCGCCCGAAATCTCTTCCAAAGGCCCTATTCGTTGGCTTGCTGGCGTCGGGGCGACTGACGCCGCGGACCCCACAAGCCGAGTCGGCTAGAAAGTGGAGTTCGCCGTCAGGCGGTACATGGTACATCTGGGGCAAATGCTCCCCCAGCCAGCAGATGAGTGCTAGCAGCTCGGCACGGTTACTCGATTGCTTCGGCCCTGGGAAGTTTCCCGCTTGGCCAGCGATGGCCCCGAGCTGGCCCCAAGACGGTTCGTGACACCAAGACGCCATGTGGGCAAACGCTCAGCCACATCGTTGGAGGCAAGGGACCTTGACGCGGGCTCCTCCAGAGCCGTCCCCCGCCCCCCAAAACTGGTACCCCGAATTTGTGTTAGCTACTGCTGCTTGCTTAAGCTGCCATTGCCAAATCTGCAAGTCTTCACGCGGTGGGTCGACGGCTGCCCACTCGCGAGGGATCAGGCCTCGGAGCCAGAAACATGTAACTTGTTCATCTTCTTCGGCCGCCCCCTGCTGTAGGTCGACCGTCCCTTGACACACGGGAAGGGCTAGATTGGCACAGCGTTCCCAAGATCGATGGCATGGGGTCTCTCATCGACCTGCGTTACATCTGACGCAATCGGAGTCTTGCTCGCTGAAAATTCCCGCCCCGTGGAGGCGAGCACGAGGCCGCGTCGACCCCGTGGCCATGGCCAGGGGGCGGCGGTGATTCGCCGTAGGCGTCTTCGATTCTTTTGGGAAAAAACAAAACCAAAACCGAAAGGATCTAGCACGCCTGGCACCCCTCCGATGAATCAACAGGGGGCGGCGGATCGAAGACGCCTGCTGCGAATCACCGCCGCCCCCTGCCTTTGTGGAAGCGCCTATGTGGCCGAACGTTGAGGCCAGACCTGCCAAGCTATCGGACCATGTGTTCCCCGAATCGGTTTGGAAAGCCTTCGGGGAACACGTGGGCATCTTGAAGGTCATCTTTGCCGCCTGCAGGCCATTTTGACCCTTTTCGGGCCTTCTTGGAGGACGTCTTGGAGGGCTCTTGGGCCGTCTTGGAGGCCTCTTCGGCCGTCTTGGGGGCCTCTTGGGGCCGTCTTGGGCCTCTTGGGCGATCTTTGGGGGCACTTGGGCCGTCTCGGGCCGTCGGAAGGCCGAGAGAAAGCATATGCCACACTCCTTCGAAAACTCATGGGAACTCAATGATTTTGGCCTGTGTCGGGCCTTCCTGGAGGCCCTCTTGGAGGCCTTCCTGGGCCGTCTAGGGCCATCTTAGTGCCATCTTCGGCCGTCCTGGTGGGCCCCTGGCCCGTCGGACGCCGTCGGAAGCCGTTTACGGGGCCTCTCTGGGCCGACTTGGGGCCCTCTTGGAATGCTCCAGGGCCGTCTTGGAGGCCATCTTGGGCGTCTAAAAAGCCTCCTGGGCTGTCTTGGGGGCCGTCTTGGGGCCGTCTTAGGGGGCCTCTTGGGCCGTTCTGGGGCCATCTTGGAGGCCTCTTGAGTGATCCTTGGGCGATCTTTGGGGGCTCTTGGGCCGTCTCGGGCCGTCGGAAGGCCGAAACGAAGCAAATGTCAAAATCCTTCGAAAACCTAAGGACAATCAGTGTTTTGGGCCTTTTCTTGCCTTCCTGGAGGCCCTCTTGGAGGCCTCTTGGGCCGTCTTGGGCCAGCTTCGAGCCAACTTCGGCCATCTTGGTGGGTTCCTGGCCCGTCTGACGCCGTCGGATGCCGTTTGGGGGGCCTTTCTGGGCCGACTTGGTGCCCTCTTGGGGTGCTCCAGGGCCGTCTTAGAGGCCATCTTGGGCGTCTTGGAGGCCTCTTTGGTCGTCTTTGTGCGCTCTTGGGGCCGTCTTGGGGGCCTCTTGGACAGTCCTGAGGCCATCTTGGAGGCCTCTTGGGCGCTGTGGGGCGTGGGGGCGATCTTGGGGGCCTCTTGGGCCGTCTTGGGTCGTCGGAAAGCCGAGAAGAAGCGAGTGCGAAAATCCTTCAAAAACCTAAGGTAAATCAATGATTTTGGCCTCTTCGGACCCTCCTGGAGGGCCTCTTGGAGGCCTCTTGGGCCGTCTTGGAGGCCTCTGGGGCCGTCTTCGGCCGTCTTGGACTCTCTTGGGCCGTATGGGAGGCCTTCTGGGACCATCTTGGGCGGACTTGGAGGCCATCTTGAACCATCTTGGAGGCCATCTTGGGCCAACGTGGCCATCTTGGAGACCATCTTGGGCTATCTTGAGCGGAAACATTTGAGAATTGCGGTCCTTCCAGGTGGCCGGCGGGACGGGCCGAAGCCCCAGGGGAGTTATTTTGGAAAAAAAGCAAAACCAAAACCGTAATAATTCGGCACGCCTGGCACCCTTGCGATGAATCGACAAGGGGCGGCGGATCGAAGACGCCTACGGCGAATCACCGCCGCCCCCTGCCTTTGTGGAAGCGCCTATGTGGCCGAACGTTGAGGCCAGACCTGCCAAGCTATCGGACCATGTGTTCCCCGAATCGGTCTGGAAAGCCTTCGGGGAACACGTGGGCATCTTGAAGGTCATCTTGGCCGCCTGCAGGCCATTTTGACCCTTTCGGGCCTTCTTGGAGGGCTCTTGGGCCGTCTTGGAGGCCATCTTGAGCGTCTTGGAGGCCTCTTCGGCCGTCTTGGGGGCCTCTTGGGGCCGTCTCGGGCCTCTTGGGCGATCTTTGGGGGCACTTGGGCCGTCTCGGGCCGTCGGAAGGCCGAGAGAAAGCACATGCCACACTCCTTCGAAAACTCATGGGAACTCAATGATTTTGGCCGTTGTCGGGCCTTCCTGGAGGCCCTCTTGGAGGCCTCTTGGGCCGTCTAGGGCCATCTTAGTGCCATCTTCGCCCGTCTTGGTGGGCCTCTTGCCCGTCAGACGCCGTCGGAAGCCGTTTACGGGGCCTCTCTGGGCCGACTTGGGCCCTCTTGGAATGCTCCAAGGTCGTCTTGGAGGTCATCTTGGGCGTCTAAAAAGCCTCCTGGGCCGTGGTGGCAGTGGTGGGGGCCTCTTGGGGCCGTCTTGGGGGCCATCTTGGAGACCTCTTGGGCGATCCTTGGGCGATCTTTGGGGGCTCTTGGGCCGTCTCGGGCCGTCGTCGGAAGGCCGCAACGAAGCAAATGTCAAAATCCTTCGAAAACCTACAGAAAGGGCAATCAGTGTTTTTGGCCGGCCATCTTGGTGGGCTCCTGGCCCGTCTGACGCCGTCGGAAGTCGTTTGGGGGGCCTTTCTGGGCCGACTTGGGGCCCTCTTGGGGTGCTCCAGGGCTGTCTTAGAGGCCATCTTGGGCGTCTTGGAGGCCTCTTTAGTCGTCTTTGTGCGCTCTTGGGGCCGTCTTGGGGGCCTCTTGGGCAGTCCTGAGGCCATCTTGGAGGCCTCTTGGGCGCTGTGGGGGCGATCTTGGGGGCCTCTTGGGCCGTCTTGGGTCGTCGGAAAGCGGAGAAGCAGCGAAATCGAACATCTTTCAAAAACCTAGAGACAACATATGATTTTGGCCTCTTCGGACCCTCCTGGAGGACCTCTTGGAGGCCTCTTGGGCCATCTTGGAGGCCTCTGGGGGGCCTCTGGGGCCGTCTTCGGCCGTCTTGGACTCTCTTGGGCCGTATGGGCCTCTTGGGGCTCTTTCGGGAGGCCTCTTGGAGCGCTCTTGGGGCCTCTCGGAGCCCTCTTGGGCCGTCTTGAAAACATCTTCGGGCGCCTTGGAGATCCTTGGAGCAATCTTGGCCTCGGCAATGCGAATACGGCGTAATTTGCACGGGTTTTTCTGGCCTCGGGGACGCGAATATTGCGTAATGTAGGAAGGCTTGTTGCCTTGGGATTCTGGGCCCCAGGTCACTTCACTTGGAGAATTCTACGACATTAAATTCGCAGAAACCGAAGGGACCAAAGGACACCCCATTCAGTGCCTCGCGACGCGGTGGTGGAGATACATGCCGGCGCATATAATGCGTTGCCTGTGTGGTTTATTATGATTTCCGGGCGGCCTCGAAACCAATGGTTGGCTTCAAAATGATCGTTTTTTCCTGGGCTGGACTCCCTCACCATGGCCAGAGTTGCTCCAGCCACATTTGCCGAAACTCGAAGGAGAGAGGCGTGTGTGCGGTCATTTC